ACTAGGTCCAATTATTCCTATCCTCCCCGCTCCTTTCCTATCAGGCAGGATAGACAGGACAGACAATCGGACAGAACAGGTTCTAGGCCCAGACAACAATTTCCGGGCAAACAGCCCTTTCATGGGAGTGGCTGCCCTTTCCGTCACTCCAGATGACTCTCTGGCGGTCCCTCCCATAGGCGGCAGACTTTCCCTCTTTGCTCATCAGTGGGAGGCTACCACCACAGACACATGGGTGCTGGACACGGTTTGTCACGGGCTTTCCCTGGAATTCTTCACTTACCTCCAAATCGCTTTCTCGTCCCCAACCAAGAAATCCCACAAAGAAGAAATTAATGCAACAGGTCATTCAGCACCTTTTAAACATACGGGCCATAGAACCGGTACCGTTGGATCAGAGACGGGGATTCTATTCCATCCTCTTCGTTGTCCCAAAAGCCTCGGAGGGATGGAGAGCAATCCTAGATCTAAAAAGACTAAACTGTCATCTTGTTTACCGCAAATTCAAGATGCAAATGCTCCAGTCCATTCTCGGAAGCGTAAGAAGAGGAGAATTCCTGACGTCCGTAGACCTCACGGAAGCTTATCTCCACATCCCCATCTCTCTCAGCCACCGCCGGTTTCTAAAGTTTGCTTACAGGGGCCGGCACTATCAATACAAGGCATTGCCGTTTGGCCTATCCTCGGCCAAACTGGTTGGAGCTCAGGGCCATACACCTGGCCCTTCGACATTTCCGCAACTCGGTAGTGAAACATCATGCACTGGTTCTCACGGACAACGTTGCTGCCAAGGCCCATGTGAATCGGCAAGGGGGCACCCGATCCCGTGCCCTCCTGTCGAGGCTCTCCTCCTGGGCTCTTGGGTGGAGTCCAATCTAGCCTCGATCAAGGCAGATCACATATCAGGGGAGGCAAACACACAAGCGGATCTCCTCAGCAGGGCGACGGTGAACCACTCAGAATGGCGCCTGCACCCGAGGATTTTCAGGGAAATCTCCCACCTATTCGGACTTCCGGTCCTAGACCTCTTTGCCTCCCCGACAAACACTCAGGTACCGAGGTTCTTCTCCCGTTTCCCATCCCTAGGGGCAGAGCGCACAGACGGTCTCCGGAGTCCGTGGCCGGAGGGTCTGCTCTACGCTTTCCCTCTCCCTCTTCTTCTGGCGGTCGTCTGCAAGATCCTCAGGGAAAGAGCGAAGGTTCTTCTAGTGGCCCTGTACTGGACTCAGAGACTGTGGTTCGCCAACTTAGTGAACCTCTCTCTAGTGGAACCGTGGAGGATTCCTCCGGACAGAGTCTCAGTCAGGGGACACTCCTTCATCCAGACCCCCAATGGCTCCAATTAGCCGTATGGCACTTGAGCGCTCAGTCTTATCCCGGGAGCACTGCTCACCAGGAGTCATTTCTATAATCCAGGCCTCCCGTTGGGCCTCCACCAACCGTATTTATGAGGCCACATGGAGGAATTTCTGTTCATGGTGCTCAAAGCACCACTTGACAATTCCAGATATGACAATTCCTCACGTATTGGACTACCTTCTGGAGGGTCTGGAGAGGGGTCTGGCTCCAAACACACTACGCAGACAGGTCGCTGCTCTTTCCACCATACTTACATGTGAATCTGCAACTTCCCTAGGTCACCATCCCTTGATCTGCTCATTCATCAAGGGTGCTACTAACACCAAGCCCCTTGTAGTCCATAGATATCTCTCTTGGGAACTACCAAGAGTTTTGCGGGCTCTTACTAATCCGCCCTTTGAACCCCTTAAAACATGTGATTTGCGATACTAATCACACAAAGTAGCTTTTTTGGTAGCTATCACCTCCGCGCGGCGGATTTCCGAATTAGTTGCTCTCTCCACTAGAGATGATTTGTGCATTTTTCACCGGGACCAAGTGGTCCTTCGTCTTGATCAGACCTTTGTGCCAAAGATAAATTCCTTATTTCACAGGACTCAGGAAATCGTGTTACCAGATTTCTGTCCTAATCCCTCACATGCTCTGGAACAACAGTGGCACCTGCTAGACGTCCCCAGAGCACTCCGTTATTATATCTCGCGGACAGCTGCCTTCCGCACTACTGAGGCCCTTTTCGTTTCCTATCATCCTCCTTCTAGGGGCAGGAAAGTATCTTCCTCCACGATTGGCAGGTGGATTAGGGCTTGTATTGCAGAGTCGTATCGGGCGGATTCAGTGCCGGTTCCAGGGCGCATTACGGCCCATTCCACCCGTAGCGCGGCTACTTCCACAGCCTGGGACACTCAAGCGTCCATTGAAGACGTTTGCAGAGCGGCCACATGGTTTTCTCCGTCACCCTTCATTAGACATTACAAAATCGACAAGTTTACCTCGGCGGAGGCCTCCTTTGGCAGGAGAGTTCTACAACAGGTACTATCTCAAAGTGCCACACTGGGCAGGCCTGATTCCCTCCCTCAGGGACAATAGGCTTTGGTATGTCCCATTGGTGGATTCTCCATCTCCTGTGCTGGAGAAGGGGCGTTGTCTTACCTGAACGCCTTTTCTCAGCATGAAGATGGAGAATCCACTCCCACCCTAGTAGGTTATTAGGCCTAGATCTATGTTTATGAACCAACACGTCTTGCTGTCAGTCATGGCTTTGCCTGCGTCGAGACTGGGATCCTCTAGCCCAGGAGAGGGGTGGCAACTTTGGCTGACGTGATCTGATTGGGCAGGAACACAGTCTAAATCAATTGGTGGATTCTCCATCTCCATGCTAAGAAAAGGCGTTCAGGTAAGACAACGCCCCTTCGACATTTCTTAGGTGATCGCCTATATTGATCAAGTCTTCTGTCACATTATATAGTAGTAAGAATATACAGATATGCAGAGCGCATTGGTATAATTTTTGGAGGAAAATGCTATAAACATACATAAAGATTTGTATGTTTTGTATTTAAAAAATCTTTCCCAAATACAAAGTCCAACAGCTGAGATTTTAGGAAATTCTAAGCACCTAAAATTATTTACTTTAAGCAGTATATTCACATTGCATGTTCTAAATATTGTATTTTTTGCTTTACAATTTATTCATCCTAATGTTTACAATACTAAAATATAGAAGCCAAAGCCAAGCTCACTTTTATAGTAAAACATGTCTTATTACAAAATTGTTGTATTGGGCTTCAGAAGCAATTCAGCCATGGTTTTAAAATAGTTTATTCTTAATCTTTTGGATTCCTCCAAATTAGTTAATTACTGATTAATTAAATTGACTTATTGACTCTTTTAAGAAGCTACCTTTTAATATTTAGAAATATCACATAATCGGTCTTTTAGTCATGCAGGATTTTTTTTCTGATTCAGAACTTGCTGTGAGAATTCAGTACTATGTATGCTATAGAATCAAAAGTTCATCTGTTCTGAACACCTGTTGGTCAAATAAATTATGGTACTGGTACTGGTAAAACTGTGTACTGTAAACTACCCAGATTGTCTTGATTGAATTAGCATTTCTTTTATGAAATTATTTAAAAGTTGATTTAAGTAGGAAAAATAGTTGAGATAAATGACAATTAAACAAATAAATTAGCTTATACTGATATATTAATACAAATATAGTGTCTTAAATTTTTCAACTCTGGTATCCATAAATTTTAAGAAAAAGAATACATGGTGTATATCCAGCACCTGCCTTACATGCTGCAACAAAACAAACTGATAGGGAGCTTTGAGATAGGAACCAGTACTATAGGAATACAGATGATCTAGAAAACATTCTTCTGGTTATAGAACAGTACAGCTAGTCCTTGGATTACAACCATTACTGAGCCCCGACAAAAATGTAATAAGTTGCAGTCATATGACTATAGGGCACTGCAAATGGCTGTAAATGTTGACCATTTGCCAAGGGCCCAGAATATTGTCATGTGACCTCTGGGGGAGGCTGGATGTCAGAACTTCAAAACTGAGTCATAGGTCCCTTTATCAGGGTCTATTGTAACTTTGAATGGTCACTAAGTGACACTTTGTATGTCGAGGACTACCTATATTCTCCTAGGCATGTATGTCTTTTTTTTCCTTGCAGTTTTTTTAGCAACCTTTTTGGAATTGGTTTGCCATTGTCTTCTCCTAGGGCTGAGAAAGAGAATGAGTGGCCCAAAGTCATGCAGCTAGAAGTAGCCTAATGGCTTTAACCACTACCCCAGACATGCTCTCATACATTCCTGCTGAGCTGAAAACATGTTTCTTTTAAACAGTTGACAGTTGTAGAGTAGGAAGTGGCATTTAATCATCAGATCTAGTCCCCCTGCTCTATTAGGCAAAAACGTCCTCTGGTCAAGCTTAACTAGTGGTTACACAGATATATCTATACAAGTTTTTGGCAACAGCACAAAGTTGGTTTACCATTGCCTTCCTTTGGAAATTTTTCAACTTCTAGTGCAGTCTACAATTCTGGGATTTATTGGCAGTCTGCTTTGTATGCATAAACAATCCAACTGTGCTTAGCTTTTTTTTTTTTAATAGCTGGCTAATTTATGAAACCACTCCTGAGCCCTACATAGAGCTGAATTTCATCAGTCATTGTAAAGAAAAAAATAAAGAATACAGTTTTCATTTATATAGTTTTATTATCTACAATCTTCATTGAAATGTTGCACAAACTATCAGTAGCACAGCTTCTCAATATGAGATATTCATTGCCTCCAAAATATAACCAATGAATCCCAGGATGACGAAAATACAGAAAATAAAATCTGTATTAATGCTTCAGTTAGATTTCACTCCTTTAAAAGAAAACATTAGATAGAAATACTGCAGATTAAAGCTTCTATAAAATGTGAAACAGTGATACCTTAAAGAAAGAAGAAAAATGAATATTTATAGTTTCCAAAATACATTCATGAAGTATATTGGCTGTTGGCTGTTTATCAACGGCTAAGCACCTTGATACATGTTATAAATGTGTAAATATATGAGGAAGATAGACATTTCTCATTTTCTGATTTATCAATGGTGTTTTTATGCATATTTTTGTGCAGGTTCTGGGTGGATCATATCATCAGAGTTATCCAGCTACAAACTTTCAGGACTATAATAATTGGGAGTCCCTGATGAAAATTAAAGAAGGGCTGTTAAGGCAAAAAGAAATTGTGATTGATCGGTAAGTAAATCTATTGTGGCCTCAATTTGCTTCACACTTGCCTTGCAAAGCAAGGCAGTCTCTTATTTTGTCTTCTTTGAGTAGTGAGCACTGGGGCTGTTTTAGGTAATAGAAACATATTTAGAGTTTATGGTGTATAACTGTGTACCTCTATGTAGCAATATAGTAGTACTTGTATATTATCTTGTGAATATAATGTATGCACAATTTTGTATACTTTCAATTTTTTAATTTGTATAGTTGTAATATTTTAATATATTTTAATAATTTTTCTTAATAATTTTTCTTTGTTTTTATACTTTATAAGCCCCCAGAATTGCCTTATAGGAGAGATGGGCAGCACAAAAATTTAATAAAATAAATATATTATTATAGGATAATGCTGAATATTTGATCTCTGGTGAATTTTGTTTGTCAAAGTGTAATAAGGCTCTGCATTAAACTACACTGATATATAAAATGTAATGTCATTAAATAAGATGCAATTAAAATTGAACAATACTATGGAATTGCTCCATTTCACTTTAAACCAGTAAACATTTTGCAAAGTGTTGTTCCTGAAGATTTATGTACAGCAGTTGATGCAGTATGGTTGCCTACATCCATATTTTATCAATTATGGGGCCCTGTCTAGTCTTGTCTTACTTCACATTTTTATGGGACCAGTAGTCTTCCTTTTGGTGTACCTAGGGTTCTTTGCTTTTCAGCTCTTCATACTTGCATGAAGAAAAGCATATAATAAAAACAAATGGATATGATTATGTTAAAAAAAGTGACATCCATACTGAAATCGTTATGGTAAAGTATACTCTTATATATGTTTTGGGTTATGATTGACATTTCCTTGATACCAAAAGATAACCACTTGATCCATAAGGAAGTACACATTCTCATTCTCAGCATTACTTCTGATCACATGGATTGATTGAAAGATAAAAAGAGTTCATGACTCTTTGAAGATAATTAATTAAGAAATTTTGAGAGTTTCATTGCAGAAACAGTTTAATTGAAATTGTAGTTTATAGCGTATTATATTAGATGAATATAATGAAGGTGTGAAGGCATGAGAATGTTCCTATTCCCTTCTTCCTGACTGCCATATGATTTAGTTTTGCTTTATTTTTTATATTGCCTCATTATTTTCATTATTTTGCAATTATTAAACACTACATTTTAACACTAGAGGGAGTAGTATGTTCTTATATGATTTTGCATAATATTACATTTGTGCCTTGACTTGGCTCTCTTGAAAATAACTTACACTATGCAACTACTGCTTTACAATATTCTAAATTGTTTTGACCTTGATTGGCCATGGCATACTACTACTGAAGTATCCGTGCTAATACTGGCACTGTTTATTGGCAAGGATTACCTAGAATGATAGTATGAATAAATTCCAGATGCTAGGCACATGACATAAGTCCCTGGAAATAATAGCCTTTGCTGTGTTCTCTGTTAAACAGCATTGTGGTGTTCCAAAGGCTTTTTTTAGGTTTAAACTCTAAGGTTAAGATTTGGAGGAGTAAATGTCCTTCCACATAATACAATAATACTTGAAATTCTGAAGCTGATTATCATAATAGAAATATGATGATCACTGATTATCATTAATAGAAATATAGTTAACATTGTGAGTCTGTTGATTAAATACATGTTTTTTGTTACCATGTACTGTTGTATTTGCTTTGACTTGATCAGTGGCAGAACAAAGCCATATTGATACTGCCTGATGCATAATTGAGTCATATCAAAAAATTGGTCTTAAATTTAATATGATTAAATTCTACCTTAGAATTCCTCCTAGCAAGTCCACTGTTCATGTGAATTCAGTTGCCTCATACTCTATTGCAGTGGTTCTCAACCTGTGGGTCGGGACCCCATTTGGGGTCGAATGACCATTTCACGGGGGTCGCCAAACAAGGCTGTCCGCCATTTTTTCCCCTTTTCTTTGGCCATGCCCCTGGCACCTGATGATGTATAAGTGATTGGGGGTCACCACAACATGGGGAACTGTATTATGGGGTCGTGGCATTAGAAAGGTTGAGAACCACTGCTCTATTGAATTGCATGCTGTTTGGATGTACTTTTAAATATTTAGAAACAAGTTCAGTTTTTGCACAGTTGAGCTGTTCTTGCTCTTTTATGTGATTGCTTTTTTTTTATATATACTGCCTAAGATATATCGGGAATGCATTCCAACATGGGTTACAGGGTCTCACTTGTTCTTTTTAAAAGCCATCTAACAAGTAGCTAATGTAATTTCTTAGGATTCCACTAAGCTATGCTCTTTTGGAAGGAATGTTACTGTTAATCAGCTTCAGTTCTAATGCCAAGTTCTAATGCTATAATGGAGAGGGAATGCTCTCTATTAATGCTATAGAGCTATTTATTTTATAAGCCTCTGTCTGGTTTGTAGAAACAATGCTTCAACCCTTTGTTCTTGTAGAACTGAAAACATAGGCACGCTTACTTAAAAGTAATCCTTTTTTAACAGAATAAAAATAATTCTGAAGAAATTTGTGGGATGGCTGAAGATTATTTTCTTGTTTTGAGTTTTGGAATATGCTTTTCAGAGCAGAGTAGTAAAACTAGGCATCGTTGGTAGCAAAGGCATGCAATAATGGGGAGAGCATCTGATAGCATAACAGATCCTCTCACCTTCTTGAAGACTCCATGACTTCTCAGTTATGAACCAGAGAATTGGGGATTGAAAGAGAGCAAAGGAAAGTTCCATTGCATGAGTAGATATCCACTCACACATAGTTGGACTTCTTCCACTACTCTAAATCTCGCTTCACCAGAGATTTATATCAATGAAATATATACATGCTGTTTTTCATTTGAAAAAACAAGAATTAATATCCAGAATAAATTAAAATAAATATTTTCTATTCTTATCTTATGCTTGGTCAAATATGACAAGAGTTTTATTAAAGCAAAGGCAATAAGAGGTCCAGTTTGAGGTAGTAATTAAGGCACCAGGATAGAAACCAGGAGATTGTGAGGCACAAAGCCAACGGGGTGATATTGGTCTGGTCATTCTGTCTCATCTCCAGGAAGCAGGCAATGGCAAATCACTTCTGAAATCTTGCCAAGAAATTTTTCTCGTTTAAACAAATAGCTGGTATTTATGTACCTGTGTTATACCAAGAGTTTTACAAACAAAATTATATAAAATATATCTGAATATACTGTAATTAACTGACTTCAGAATAACTGACTTGGTTATTAAACTTTTAAAGAAAAAGATAATGCAGGCTTGGAATCAAATATAGTAGCTGAAGATATTATTTAACCTGAATTAACTGTTTAGTTCTCTGGCTGTAGAGTATAGAGAGAAATCAGTCCATACTGTATAACAGTTGAACAAATTCTAAAAACCTTGATTTATATCAAAATCATATTCCCTCCTCCCTCAAAAAGCAAAGGTGGTGGAATTGGAATCGTTTCTCTATTAGTCTAAAAAGTTATTTTCAGACTTATTATAAATTTTAAAATAAATCCATATATTTTAAATATATATCGCGGGTGTTTGTATGTAGGTCTTTGGTTGGTTTTCTCCAGCGTAAAATTGGAAGTGTCTTGGTGACGTTTCGACGAAGTTCCATTCGTCATCTTCAGGCTGGTGTTTTCAGCTTCGTGCTTCGAGGAGCAATGTGTGGTCTTAGCTGTTTCTTCCTTTTAACTGCCAGTGGGGGTATGAACTGATTGGGTGGGAGCTTGGCTGTGTTCTGATTGGGTGGAGTGTGTTCTGATTGGTTAGGGGCTTGACTGTGCTCTGATTGGCTGGGGGGTTGGCTGTGCTCTGATTACCATGTTGTTTTATCTTATGGAACACACATTATTCTGAATTTGAAAGCTGTACATAAAATAAGAAGAAACACCCCCCTCCAATATTTCAAGTTTGTCCACATTTAAGTTATATCCGTTGAAAGAGCGATCGAATCCACACAGTTTCAATCAGCATTTAAAAATAAATATTATACATGTGAAGATTAAGTGTATAACTGAATACCTATTGCCTCTTAGCACCTGTTTATGTGCCACCACCTGCCAATTATATGTAATATATTTAAAATAGAGGAGAAAAGAAAGAAGAATCTTGGAACTGGATTTTGAAATAACCAATTTCAGGTTTTATTAAACCCTTTAGGAAGAAATTAGGTAAAAATTGAATCAGCATTTATAATTACCAGGAAGGAAGGACGGACAACAAAGTGGCCTCTGTGTTCCAATAAAACAGTGGGGGACTTGTACAAAGAAAATAAATGTCAGCATATTTTCCAGGCTTCTCAAGGGAAGATTTATACCTCTCCAATAAGATACTGTTTTGTGTGGGACGTTTTCCATGTCCAATTTTGCTCTGCTGGGGACCCTAAAAAGGTCACCCAGGAGAGGCGACGAAGAAAAAGGGGGACCCTCGTCAATTGCGGAGGGGCAGTGGCCCTTCCGTTTGATCCGAGGAAGCCCTTCAAACCGGGAGAAGAAAGACTGGCCACATTTATGAGCCACCGACAACACAAGATAAGCACTAACTAACAACCTCTGAACAACATGGATGGAACTGGGTGAGAACAGCCCTCTCTTTATAATTTTAAAGCCTCTTCCTGGAAAAAAGAATTCCCAAAGCAAAGATTCTGCCAGATGATAGAGAGAAGGAGAATTTCTGCCCCATTCTCTCAGGAAAAGAGAAGCGGCGAATAACTTTCTTTGGGGGGAAATTAGAGAAAACTACAAGATTAATTTGGATTTAATATAGAGACAAAGCTTTGACAAATTTGGGAACTAAAAGTATTTTTAAGACTTTCTTTTTGAAGATATTTGGAAAGTTAGTGAAATAGGTTTGGACTTAAAAGCTGGAAGATGGATGTTTAAAACATCTAGTGGTAAACCTTGGCATTGCAATTTATTATGCTGAAATTTGGCACGAAGCCTGGACTTAGATAAGGCTCTTTGTTATCCCTGGAAACTTTCACTTTTGCAGATTGCAGCTAGGAAAAGGGGGAAAAAAAATCTTTGGGCTGTTTTATCTTTATGAAGGAAACAAGTAACCATTCTAAATTGGCCGACCTGGATTACAAATATTGACTGACTTTTAGTTTCAAGAATTATCAAGAACTATTAAGAAACAGTGGGAAAGTTGCTTCTGGACTATTTCTCTTTGGAAGAAACATGGATAATCAACAAGAAAATGTAAATGGACGTCAGAAAGAAATTCTTTCCATGTTGAAATCAATTCAAGAGACAATTGTTTTAAATTATGAGGAGACTAAAAATAATTTAAATAACATAAATGAGCAACTCTCCAACTTAAACTTACAAGCAAAAAATGTTCAAAAATGACCATAAAGAATGAACTAGCAACTCAGAAACCAGAAGAAAAAATAGAGGAAACTGACATAAAGATAGAGGATTCGAAAGAAGAAACCAACAGACAGGCACAGATAAGTAAAAATTTGGAAGACCAGATATAACACCGGAAATGGGAAAGACATTTCACTTTTCAAGACGTCGGAACATATTTGAGGACAAGGAAGCAGAATTGATAGAATGGATGACAGAGCTCTTAGGAGAAATGCTGAAAACTGGGGAACAAGAAACTAAAAGAGAAATTGAAGGAGAAAGAAAATGGAGGCTGTTTAGCGAAAATAAATGGATTAAACGTTTTTACGAAAACACTTTAATTAAATTGTCTTTTTATTCCAAATAATTTATACAGAAACAGAGGAAGAAATACTTGGGGACCTAAATGCACTGACTTGCAAAGTTATTTGGCAAAGGAAGAAAGCTAGAGTAAGACTGAAGAAAATAGAGGTCCTGACTAATTAGATGAGGTATTATACCATCTAATTGATGTTTGAATATGATCAAAAGAATAGACAATTGTTAGAAATAAAAGAACCATTATAAATTAGAAGGAAGTGATTTGTAGCTAGGACAGGGGTAGGCAACCTTGGCTCTTTGGCCTACCCCTAAGCTAGGATAACAATTTTTTTATAAGATGGCAAATATAAAACTACTAAGAGGGTAGGTATAAGGAAAGCTTTTAGTTACCCAAATGTAATTAATTAAGAGAAAAATGATAATTGATAAAGTTATTTTGAATATTGATGGGAAATTAAAATTGAAAAAAAGAGTTTAAAGGAATGGAGAATGCTTAATTATGAGAAGAAAAGACTGGGAATACAATAGAATTCTTTAAATATTTGAAATATGTCAGGATGAAGAGCAAAACATGTTCTCCATTGCTCCATAGCAAAAGACATGAAATAATAGATTGAAGTTGTAGGAAAGTAGGTTCTTATTGATTGTTAGAAAAGGCTTCCAGATACTCAGAACTATTTGGCAGTGGAACTACGGGCTCTTTGGTCACTAAATATGTTAAAGCAGAAACTGGATAACCATCTGTCACGAATGCTTTAATTTGAATTCTTGCCCCAAGATGGGAGGTGGGCTCAATGGCTTAAATGCCTGATTCCAAATCTGTGATTATATGATTCTGGATACTTTATAAGGAAGGATCTTCAGATTCTAGGACACCATTTCCTCAGACATATCCTCCTGGAACATCGTGCAATCACTACCTCTGCAGCTATCCAGGCTAATTTCTTTTTATTAGGTTTAGTAGAAAAGATATCAATTGTTTGGATCACTCTGCTTCTCTTTGGTAGTTACAGAGAGTTATTGCTTCTGTTTCTATCCACTAAAGAAAGAAGACAGGTAAGCTGCCTAATTAATTAATGAATCACAATTAAGCAACACTCAATATTTACAGGAGTCTGTCATGTAGGTGCAGCTTACTTTATCATTGAGAACAAATGATTGTGATTGATATTTTATTCTCTGATAAGTGCAACTTATTAAATATCAAAATGATTGATATTTTACTGTGTGATAAGTGCAACTTACTTTGCAAAATGTGATCAAATGAATAGGGGCTTTTAGCAAGGGAGAAATTAAAAGCATCTTGGCAAGAAATAATGGATCCAAGTGATTTTTTTAAGGATTTTAAACAGCTTAACTAAAGTAAACTAACTTTTTTAAAAAAAAACAAACATGATTGACTTTGAGAGCAAATCATTTCATTTTGGTATATGAATTTGGATTTCTCTATAGTGGAAACTTGAGGACCTTTAACAAGTTAAATTTAAGAATCTAAAAGATGCTAGTATTATTTCTAGACTACCACTGTTGTCATATTATTTCAGTTGTCACATGCTGAGTAGATTTCTGGGATCATAATGTGAAGTGCATGCTGCAATTTTTTTTTAGTAAAGCCTTATCAACATGGAGTTACATAGAGGATTACTAGTAACAGCTGTTGAGGTACCAAAGGATTATAGCCACCATATAACATTATCAACAACAAAATGTACAAATCATGAGACTTTTATTGTCAGATAACTCCAGAGACTTAGAGGATTATGTGCAGAATTGAAGATATTCCTGTAGAGTTTGTTTTGATATGCTTTTTGAATCTTTTACATTCTCTTTTTAAGGTTCAAATTGTGAAAATTAAAGTTGTTCTAGCTAATTGCTCAAAAATTAATGAAAATATTAACATTGATCCTTGTTTTTTTTAGTTAGGCTTGAGTGTAACAAGTCATCCCTAGTAAGACATTCAGCTGCTTTTGCCCACAGCCAGCAGGAAATCCTGCCACCCTAAATCTTGCTGTCACCACAGTGTTCTGTAACTTGGATTAGGTCTATGCTGGTCTGCTGTCCAAACAGCTTGAATGCACAACATTCTAAGGTGGTAATTGTGTTGCTTTCTTTGCTAAAATTCCAGCTCTGGGAACACTCGGAATAATGGTTGGAAGAGACTTTTTAGTACATGTAAAGCTTCCTCCAGTTGTTATGCAGAACACTTTGGCTACTCCATGCAATGTCTTTTTTCCCTTTCACATTGTATCAACAACTGCTTGAAGTTAAAGAAAAAATTAAAAACACAATCAACAGGTCAACTCTTTGATCTAATGATCACTTGGTGGCAATAAAAAGTTTGGATTTTTTTTTTTTTAAATCTCTTACCTGCCATTTAGTATCTGTCTGAATTTCTTGTAGTTGAGATGCATCCAGTAGATCTTTGCTGCCAAAAAGCAACAGTTTGAGAAAGATAATTAGCTTGGGGTGGGAGACATAAATTATGTAATATGAGGAGAGGAAAACAAGAAGCTAAGATTTTCCTGGGGGAAGCAACAAATAGGAAAGGAATTCCCATCCATACAAGCTGTAGAGGTACAAGAACTGAGTTTTTTCAATTGCACTTTCAAGGATATGCATTAAGTCAAGTGAATTTCAAGCTACAGTATGTAATAATCAAAAGCTCGTCATCTTGGTATGAAAACCCATGGAAATTGGAATGTATTCATGAATTCAAATATGTAAGTACAATGAAAATATACTATAGCACAACTAAAATATAAAAGTTAATTTTATATGCCACTTGCAGATTTCTGGAGATGGAAATGCATGTATATTATTCATTGATGTATGCTGGAGGTACATTTTCTGTTTTGAAATAACGTATTCTGCATTTCCCATTAAGAATCTAATTTGCACAAGGGAGCTTTTCCCTATCAGTTCAATAAAAAGAAGAATCCCTTTTTTATGTGCAGAAAGAGCTATGAATCCGCTGAAATGAATCAGAAGGTTTTCATAGGCATGAAAGCTTTATATGCTCAACAAAAATCATAGGGACAGGAATAAAATGCTGATTACATCATTAATATTAATTGAGACAGTCAGTACAAATTCCAAAATTACATTTGAAATAATAAAATGCTAATTCCATCTCGAATGGATGAGAGGATGAAAATTGAAGTTGAAAATAAGACTCAAGTAACTTGACTTTTTCCTTTCTTATAATTTCCAGGCAAAACCAGCAAATTAACCTTCTGTATCAGAAAATAAGAGAGAATGAACTACGAGCTCAACAAGCAAGATTAGGGCACATTGTAAATTGTGAAGAATCATACATGAATAGTTTCCAGGTAAGATGAGCTTTTTGATCTGTATTTGTTATTATTAGTCTAGTGAAAGTCCTGAGTAATTCAACATCCTTCAGGACAAATTTATATTAACATTATAATGAAACATCCCACTTTCCACAGTTAGAAGTATGAAAAAAAATTGGTGCATAGTGTAAAGGAGCACTTATGAACTTGAATATCATTTGAAATCAGTTCAATATATGTTTTATTATTTCCTTACATGGGTTTCAAATTGACACATATTACATTTAAATGCTTTGACATTTAAACATCTAAAATTTCGTTACATACATACCACTAATATTATTTATTATTGTATCATTAGAGGTTTGAGTATGACTTTAGAATACAGACTTTTGATCATATAGGTGCTTTTCCTTTACTTTTCTCACTGATATGCTTTTGTATACTAGAAAACCTATGACTTGTTGAGTCATCCTTTCACAGATATTTCCTTACCTAAACAAAGAAACAGACTACAGAAAGGCAAAAAAGCAGGAACAACTTCCAAATTCCCACTGGCTTTCTCAATGATTTTGCTTGTAAAAAACTGGCAGGGAGGGTTAGAAATCATTCCTTCATTCTTCTTTGGCTGACCTGCGGAACTGTCTGCCACTTTGCTGGATAAAGAGGCACAAAGGAAGCTGCGGGCTACAAGGAAAACAGTATCCCTGCTCCCCAACTCAGCGTATTCCCAAGATCTCATTCAGGAAGAGAGAAGGCTCATCTGTCAACTGCTGGCACCTCACAACCATCCCTATCTTGCCAGCAGTTAACTGAGTCAAAGATTCCAGTAGGAGAACCTTTTTGAAGAGCTTTCCTTCAACTGTGTGGTAGTTAGTAACAGTTTCTTCAAGGAATCCTTTTTTCTAATTGTTTTCTTGTTCTTTTCCTAAACCAGCCTCAGTATGAGAAAACATCAATGCCAGCTCCATTTGCAGAGAGATCTTTGACCCAGTGTGAAAGGGAGCAAGTTAAGCTTGTATCAGTACAAAATAAGGAGCTACAGCTCAGTGAGTTTTTGAAAGAAATAGTAAACAAATCCAATGAAGATAAAAAGAAAATGGAAGAGAAGGTGAGTCTCACACTGATGCTATTGACTCATTTGATCTCTATAATACAAGCATACATTGCTTAGTCATGTACGCTGCATTATAGCCGGCAGATTTATTTACTGGATCTTTAGATCATTCACTAGGATAATTTTCCCATTTCGTATAATTGAGAGAAATGTTTTTTCTAGATTGCTTTATAGTGCCTTATATTTCCAGATAAAGATAACTGAAAATTAGTTTCAATGAAAACTGAAAATTAGTTTCAATGAAATCAGCTGGACAAATTGCTTATGACAAGTCTCATTAATTTAAGTGAGAGTTAAGTTGAAATGACTACTCTACATCCAACTCATTCTCTTGTAGGATAAAATGTATACATACTTCATGTTATTACCCTAATATAGAGGTCCCCAACCTTTTGGCCACCAGGAACCTGTTCCATGGAGAGACACTTTTCCTTGGACCGGAGAGGGCTTTGCTCATTTGCGCTGTCCGATTTCTGGCACGCCGCAGACTGGTGCCAATTTGCAGCCTGGGAGGGTTGGGGACCCCTGCCGTAATGTGCATACTTAATTCAGTTTCACCATTGTTTTTTCTGTCCTTTATTAAAGTTACCGTCAGATTTTGTTTTGTTTCAGATTATAGCCACCAGAGAAAGAAATACTTAAAGAGAAGTTATATCAGTCCTAATAAAATCATATATTTCAGCAAAATTCTCTACAGTTCTGCACAATGTGAAAATGAAGAAAATATTTGCTAAGCTTCTGCTAATTATGAAAATGGATAAAAATATGCAAAATAGTATTGTCCAATCTTATGAATCAAATTGTGCAGCCTATGGCCTTTAGCATTAAACGGTTTTGTATTTTAATGTTTTATTGATAGCTTTGTATCAATATATTCTGAAACAAATCAGTATAAACATTGAAACATACAAAGCTATCAATAAAAACATTAAAACAAAACTTTAATATATATGATTTTTTTCAATATAGATAAAAATAAATCAACAAAAGGATATAAAGTAAAAAAGGTTTTCTTTCACTTTTGATGCTGTTGTGAGCCACACAGTCATATTAGTGATGTGAACAGTTACACAAATTGAATAAATAAATAAAATTTTTAAATAGCTTTTGATAAAACCCATAATATTTTTCCATTAGCTTGCGGATCACTCTTGTTAGCATGACATTCGGTTATTCTGTTTCTAGTTTATATTTTTTTTTTTTAATGCATTTTTTTTAACTAGTAATCTCTACTACTTTTTATGATAATCAAAACTAATACAAGTTATATGACATTTTTAATGTGATTAGTGAACTTAAATAATAAGGTATGTAATGGGTGGTAATAGATACTAAATATAAGTATCTTTTGTCTTTGTAAAAAATGTTTTGTATTTATTTGAAGTGAATACATAATTCAGAAAACCATTAAGCATCAAAGCTATTTATGCAGGTTTTTTTAAATATTTTAGACATAGTGTACCAGCAGGAATAAAAATTATGCTACTTTGAAGAAGTTTTTTTTTTCCTGTTGAGGCAGGTAATCTCAGGAAGCAGAATTTAATTGGTCTCTAGAGTGCTGTTATTAATAAAACAAGACATAGTTTGGATAGACATGTAGGTAAATCCTGTAAAAATGTTTAATTATGGAAATATTACACTAAGCAAAAGTATGCAGTCTTTGAAAAAAAATCAACATTCTATTACATCCTTTCGCTAACATTATTTTTATTAAAATACTAAACAACCCTTGCCCCATTTCCTTATCAGATTCCTCCATGCCTTCTACAGTGACAGAATTTATAATACACTGCCTTTATGGGAAAAGTTAGAATAGATTCAGAAATGTATCTACCATGAAAATAGCCCATATTGAACTGTATAGCACAGTCAAACATCAGCCCGTGAAATATTTTGTGATCTGAAGTACCATATCTTAAACTGTTTTATGATTATTTTATATCATAAAATGCTTTAGAGTATATAGATTTGCCAAATTTCAATTCCATGGGAATCCTAACCCCCAGTTTTTGGACACATTCTGTAAGTTAGCCCATTTGAAGTATCTTGGTTCAAAAATTATTGTCCTGTGATGCACTTATTAGTTCAAGTTTACATTTTTAGTAACATATAAATAGATAATGCTGAAAATAATGGTGATTGAGCTTGAAAAATAAATCAACCTATTCTTTTTTTAATTGGTTTTTTACTTTACCTTTTACATCTATCCTTACCTTTTTTCTAGCTCAAAACCCGAGACAGGTACATAAGTAGCCTAAAAAAGAAATGCCAGAAAGAATTGGAACAAAATAAAGAGAAACAGAGACGAATTGAAACACTTGAAAAATACCTAGCTGATTTGCCAACACTGGATGATATTGAGAGGCAAAGTAAAGAGGTAATTGATGTGTTGTTTTGCTTTAAAAGCAGCTCATTCAAAGGTTTTGCTGAGTGATACATTTTAGTGCTTCCTACCTGCCCACAATGTACTCTGTATAGTTTCTACACTTTTAACAGAAATCCCTTTAACAATCAATTGTGTTCAGAATTATTGAATATACAGACATAAATCCAACAGTGTTCCTGTACTGGTCAATAGCCCACTGTTGGAACATCAGTTCCCAGTCTCTCCTGCAGCCTCCCAGTTCTGCTTTCCAGAAGTTATGTGAGACTTTTTTCAGAAGGAAGAAAGAGAAAATCTTAATGCACAAATAAAAATTGCTTGTTTAAAATGTTTGTTTAGCCTGTATGATTTTAGATTGACAGATAGATCACTTTGTATATGTGAGGGGGGGGGAATGGGTATGCACGCACGCACGCAAATGTGTTTAAGGAAAAATTAATTATGAAAAACGATATTAATCTTCAATTTTATAATAATCCAGTTGTCACGATACATATATTATCTTTAACATCTTGTATTCTTGGATTTAAGAAAATTAATCGGTGTGGGATTCTCATAATTACAGAATTAATTTTCAAGAAAAGCCCAACATAATCTGTTGGGATAATACAAAATAATTAGTTTTTTACATTATAAATTTACATTATAAAAATTGTTAAAAATGAGACTTCCCCCTATCCTTAAAATGAAACACTTTTAAATTAGATATGATAAAATGCCTTAAGGATTATTATATTAGAAAAAAACAGCAAACATGAAACATTTTACTTTTGCTATTTAATAATAGTACAGATCCCAGACAAAATTTTTAGTTGGATCTTTTGGATTTATAAATGCCTTAGGAAAGAAGAAATTAAAAAGAATAATGTTGAATTTTACAAACTTCAAAAACAATCAGCAATACTGGAAGTTGTATGCCTTATTCCTTGTCCCTAAGATGCTTTTTTTAAAAAGGCAACTGGACTTTCTGATTTTTCTTTAAGACATTTCGTTTCTCACCCATGAAGCTTCATCAGTTCTGCATTATCATTTGAGATCTTTATTATTTGTAAAAATGATGATTTCTAGACAATATTAAAAGTCAGTGCATGGGCGTGCTCCTTTAATTTGATAGCCTCTGCAGACTATTTTCTTTTACTTTGCATTTGTCTTTTTGAATTGTGCCAAGAGAAGAGATTTCATTCTTACAAGTCTATGGGGAAATCTCCCTCCCTCTCCTTCCAAGTCCTTGCAGATTTTTTTGGCAATCTTTTGGGAAGTGGTTTGGCTTCTTGGCTTCTTCCTAGGGCTGAGAGAGTGCTACAGTCTCCAAATGACCAAGACGTGTTTAAGGCAGGACTAGAATTCACAGCCTCTTTGATTTTTGTCTGATACCCTTAAACTTCCTGTTTTACAGCTACAGGGTCTTGAAGAAAAAAATAAGCAACTGAAAGCTACTATGGTTAAGCTAGAAAAGGAATTGGAAGAATCTAAGACACAATGTAAAGAAAAAGAATTGCAGCTTGTGTGCCAGAAGAAGAAAGAAAAAGAGTTGATAATTGCAGTGCAAAGGTATGGGTAACGGAATTGGTCGCCTTCTGGGTGTGCTGCTGCATATTAGGTATTTCCATCTAGTGGTCTGCTGATTCAATTCTAGTGGAGTTGGTAGAAACTTTTCTATATCACACAGAAGGCAGGGCAGCCACATATTAATGCTTTAAGCATTGAGTAAGCAGTGGGGTACCACAAGGTTCTGTCTTAGGCCCGGTACTATTCAATATCTTCATAGATGAGGGAATAGAAAGAGATCTCATCAAATTTGCAGATGACACTAAGCTGGCAGGAATAGCCAACATCCCAGAAAACAAGCTCAGAATCCAAAAAGATCTTGACAGACTTGAACAATGGGCCCTATCCAACAAAATGAAATTTAATGTGGAGAAAAGCCAAGTTTTACATCTGGGCAGGAAAAATCAAAAATATTACAGATTAGGAGAGACCTGGCTCAAAAACAGTAACTGTGAGAGGGACGTTGGAGTCCTTTTGGACGATCACTTAAATATAAGTCAGCAGTGTGCAGCAGCACCAAAAAAGCTAATACAATCCTTGGTTGTATAAACAGAGGCATAGAATCAAAATCATGTGAAATATTAGTACTGCTTTATAAAGTCTTAGTAAGGCCACATCTGGAATACTGCATCCAGTTTTGGTCACTACATTACAAAAAAGATGTTAAGACTTTGTAAAAAGTGCAAAGAAGAACAACTAAGATGATTAAGGGCCTGGAGACAAAAACCTATGAAGAACGGTTGCAGGAATTGGATATGGCCAGTCTAGAGAAAAGAAGGACTAGGGGTGACATGATGGCACTATTCCAGTATATGAGAGGCTGCCACAATGAGGAGGGAGTCAATTTATTTTCCAAAGCACCAGAAGGCAAGACAAGAAACAACAGATGGAAACTAATAAAGGAGAGAAGCAACCTGGAATTAAGGAGAAACTTCCTAACAGTGAGGACAAATAACCAGTGGAACAGCTTGCATTCAGAAATTGTAGGTACTTCATCACTCAAGGTTTTTAAAAAAAGATTGGACAGTCACTTGTCTGAAATGATATAGGGTCTCCTTGAGCAGAGGGCTGGATTAGAAGACCTCCAAGGTCCCTTTCAGCTCTATTCTGATTGCTTATGTATTATTGTGCTTTTAGGGAGGAAGGTGTGGAAAAGCTCTATTAAATAAATTATTTAATTCATTAGTTAAATGATTATTCATGATTGGCTTATGGTTTAAAACTGCTTCTCCAACCTATTGTCCTTTTAATATTTTATAATATCTCCTCCATCAGTGACAGGATGTGTGGCTATCTGATGCTAATTTTCCAGCTTAGTATAACTGGCAAAACTTCAGTGTTCACACACAGTGGCATAACAGTCCAAAAGATCTATCCTACAGAAGTTGGTAAACTTTCACCCATAGATGAAAAGCATCAAACCCAGGAAGAACTGTTCCCAGGCTTCTTCTATAGGGAATAAGGACTGCTTTTCTCTGTACACGTGACTGGAAAATTATTCCCTGTTTTGAATAAAGCAAAGTAGTTCTTTGTTTAGACATAAAAATTCAACTTCTCTGTCTGCAAAAAAAAAAAAAAAAAGAACTTGCTTCCCTCTGGACAAGAAAAAAAGTATTCCCTCCCACTGCAGTGAAATGGGACCATTTTCTCTACAGAGAAAATAAATTAAGAGTGGTAAGCTTCCTAGAAAAAAAAGTTATAAAATGAAGGGTTCCCCCCCCTCATTGGACAAGGCTTCATACCCACTTCTTTTACCTAGTGTGCTGATGATGTTGGAGGACAGTTTGACTCATGGCAACGTGAAAGTATTTATCTCTGCCTAACATCTTAAAGATTAACAAAAAAATATTAGGAAGAGTCTGAAGAATGCCATGAAACCCATTAAGAATTTCTTCTAATTTCCCTTCTGTACCTAATCTCTACAGATGATAAAGTCAGCTTGGAAAGTTGCATGTTTGTTAGTTTAGTTTCCTGAAAGAAACTTAACAGAATCCAAAAAATTAGCAATTTTAACTTCCGACAACAAAATTAACAATATGTGGCATCTTTAAAGCCTGAAAGACGTTTTATGAACTACCAGGTTTCATGTGGTATCATTTAGATGTCATTTGGAAACAATTGCAAAGGTATCTTAAAATAAGGCAATTGGAATCCCTTGTTTTACAAGGTTTTTTGAAAAAAACTGGCACAGAAATTAAAGGAAAAATTGGTAATTCTCTAGAACAGATAGTAACAAAAAATTACCTTAGTATTTCATTTTGAATATACTAAAGTATGGGCCACTTGAGTTCATGACCCTAAAAGATAGAAGAAACAAACAAACAGCTTGTTCAGTTGATGAAAGGTTAAATATTTAAGGATAGTTAGCCAAATCTCTGAGTGCATTGTTTCCATTTTACATTTGGTACCTCTTGTGTTTGTGAGAGTATAATCCACCGTGCTGGTTTTGTGTTCTCCTGAAAGTCTATACATATTTGAAGCACAGTCTTGTTTCTATTTTAAACCACAATTTTCATTGTGATAATATTTTCATCCTTGAAAAATTATAGTGTGAAAGTAAGATGCTTACCTGCTCTGGAACATTTGTATGTCATAGGGCTATTACATGGACAAGGTTTTTTTGGGAGGGAGGCATAATATTTAACCGATATGGGAAGAAACTGTGTGAGTTATCCATGTAATTTTTCTTGTCTTTGAATGGCAACTTTTCCCCTGACTTGTCCACTTGTTTGTTTTGCTGACCAAAATGTAAACGACAGCTTGCAACAGAAAGTAGAAAAATGTCTGGAAGATGGTGTCCGCCTTCCTATGTTGGACGCAAAACAACTTCAGAATGAAAATGAAAGCCTCAAAGAAAAAAATGAGAAGGCTTACAAGGTCAGTACATTAAAATGGCCATATGGTTGACTAAATATCAAGTGGATTCAGTTTTGATCTACATTGCTCTCATATTAGTTTTTCCTCTCTGTTACCATTAACAAGAAAAGAAGTACCAGCAAGTCTTTTACTCAGGATTACTGTGTGCTCAGATAGAGAGAGAGATTGAGAGTGGAAACAAATCAACGCAAGCCTATTGTTACTGACTTGCTGCTGTTAGCATTTATGTATTTATATAATATTGAATGGAAGATATTTTATTCCAACATTACTATCTTAATATTTATACATATATTTTCCTAAGAACTTAAGAATATCTCATCGGGATTGAGCCAGGCCCCATCTTCATCCAGCTTTCCCTCCATGCTTACAATTGTCCATGGATTCCTACTGTTTGCTTTCTGGCTTTAACTGGTTAGCAATTCATAATAGATAGGTCCTTCTTTCTCATGACCTCTGGAAAAGTTTACTGAAAAGCTGTTGAGGAATTTTGTCAAAGACTTCTTGAAGGTCAGGAATGCTAGCAAAGGAGCCAGCATGATTATTAGTATTCTCAAAAGCTCCAGACGGTTGGATACCTTGTGAAATCCATGCTGATTTTATTCAGCAATATTCTTTAGTTCTTTTCTGGTTATCATTTCTACCAATTTTCCAAGTGCATATATTAAGCTGACTGGAACTCCCCTGTGTCCCTTTTTAAAGACTAGTATTGCTTTCATTCCCTCCTCCTGTAAATGCCCTTCAGAACATTAACACTTCTAAGCAATTTCTCTGTGTTGTTAATTCCAAACATGATGTTGCAATATCTTTTAGAAGCATACGTCCTTCAAAAAGATACAGGAAACCAGAAACACAAATAAGAATATTATTACCTTCTTTTCCTCAACAGGTCATAGACAATCAACAAAATCGGATCACTGAGATATCTTTAGAGATACAGGTAATGCAATGTGATTTTCACAGGTTTCGTGTTTACCTTCTGCATCAAAAGAAAGCATTCTTATCATAAAAGGAAGCTGTGAATGCACTTCATAAACTAGCATTACGTTAGTTAGTGATATTTAAATAATCATTTATTTTGCTTCAGTCATTTAGCTTTCTGAACTGCAAGTCTAAAAATAAATCATACAAAGGAATAAATGCTATAACCTGGCCAGCTTGAACAGAAAAGGGTAACCTTATCATTACAGACCATTAGGACTTCTGTTGTGTCAGTGAAGTGAGGCTGGAATTTATTGGCTAATGTTGGTATGCAGCTGACTGCTGATTTATGACTAGCTGACTTGCCTAGAATGCCTTATGATACTGGGGGTAGAGTTTTTGCTGGAAGAGGGCAGGAAGATAGTTGCCAGTTTTACTCTGTTCATTTTCAGTAGTAAAAACCTCCCACATAACAGTAAAACAAATACACTTACAACTGATGCCTTAACAGTATATCTTTGCTGGTATTTCCACACTAGGTTTCCCTACAATTTTCTCTGCATTTTCATGCCTTTAGCTTGCTCTTTACAAAATATATATGTTAGTTTGTTCTTTTAAAAGAAACAAGAAAAGAAAACCAAGTAGTTTTGTCAAAAAAAAACATTACTTTAGCAGAAAACTTTGGGTATAGTCACAGGCAGGAAAAATACTCTGATCATAAAGTGGTTTTTTTCTGGCAAAAGGGGTTTGTGAGAACTTATCATTTTTGAATGTGAGAAATTGTTGCCTTGCTGTCAAAAAATTGGATTACTTAGCTTATTAACAGTGGTCATATATTATATAAAATGAAAAACCACCACAATTTATCTAGTATCAGTGAATTTTTTCTGATCAACTGTTACATGCATAGAATTGTCATGTAGGAGCATCATGACTTAATGAGGATGGTATTGAAGTGGTTGAAATTGATGATACTTAGACAAATTGAAGACACGGGTTATTGCTTTTCTGCACTAAAACTTGAATATTGATTGACATGATAATAGTACTATGTAGACTTTGAGATTTTAAATTGTTTTACTAAGACTTTATACAATTTGAATATGATTTCTAGTTCTGTGTGTCATAATATTAAGCAGAAAATTATCCAACTGCAGATACAGGAAGAGCAAAGGAAGGATGGACCTTATAAAAAAACTAATCAAAAAAAGAAGAAAGGAATTAACATTTTATAGGAGGCAGATATATTTCATGTTTCTTTCTCTTTTTGAGGAGCGTTGAAAGCTGGACTCTTGAGATTTCCCCCCAGTTCAAATTCTGCCTTGTTGCTGGGCTCTATGCAGGGATGTGAAAAAATGTTGGCTGTACTTGACAATCCTTGTGCAATCCAGGCTATTTGTTGTTCAGGATGGATGCCAAATTTGATGCTTTCAAAGCCAGAAAAGATCTTTGACATGAAATAGCTATAGACCTGGCAGTTGGGCTTCTGTCCCAAAGTATTCAGTAGTGTGAGGCTTTATCAAATCTTTACTAAGGGAAGACAAAACATTAAAAAATTCTATTAGACTGCTAGATTAGATTATATTTATAGAAAATTCATACTGGTTCTTGTTAAAAATAGAATGTTTGGAACAGAGTTTGTTGATCAGTAATTTTAGTTGCAGGGCAGTAGAATTCTGTTTTAAGTTCCTAGTCATTATATTTTGCAACTAATTTTATCCTTTGTCAGATGTACAGTCTGAACGGATGATGATCTGTCCCTCCAATCCAGTAATCATATTTTTCAGAGATGATTAACAACGCACTAAACTTACAGGGAAAAGGGTCAGCTCTGTTCTGACAAGGCTGTTGCAAAGTTGTATTAAGGCAACATGCTAGGTGGAAAGGAATTTAGTCCTCTTTCATTCATAGTACAGCTGGACCTTCTTATCTACAACTCTGTGTATCTGCAGTTGATAAATAAAATGGATAAATCTTGTTTCTCCATGGCAAGTTCCAACTGCTGACAGGTGGGGGGAGGTCTAGTCCAAAGCTCCTTTATGTTTTCACCTCTCCAGTTTTAACATCTACATGGAATTGCTAGCTGAGGTCATCCGTCAGCACGGCATCAGGTACCATCAGTATGTTTATGACATACAGTGTACATTTTGACCTGTGGTCAATCAAGTGATGCCGTTAAAATCTTGTCCCAATGATTGGAAAGGTTTCAGGTCTGGATGTGTAGGATCAGGCCTAAACTGACAAGACTGACTAGATATGGGTACTGATTCTTCCACTGCTGATGATTTTTCATATCTGGCTTTGAATGAAGTTAAGCTACTCTTAACAAAACTGGAGTACAATTTGGGAATCCTCCTTTTTCCAGCATTCCTACTGGAAAAGTGGGTGGCATCTGTGATCAGAACATCCTTTTGTATAGGTCTATCTGTTGCACTAATTGCACTCTTTCCAAGACTGGGAATCCCTTCTCAAGGTCACTCATGTTGATTATTCAATGCACTTCATTCAGGACTGCCTTTGAAACCCACTAGAAACTAAAACTGGGTCAGACTATAACAGGAGCCGTTATGAGTATGCCTATGTAACAACTTTGTTACATGAGCCAAAATGGCTTCTAGTGAGTTTTCATATGCAACTTGCGGGTGCTGGTTATCACTTACAAAGGCCTTCATGGATATAGGGGATGTCTATCTGAGAGATATTCTGGCTCTTGTAATGACTGCCCAATCTATTCTATCCAATTGGCACACTTTGAGTTCCATATATTAACCAATGTCATTTGATTGGACATAGGAAGTATATCTTCTCTGTTACGGTGCCTGGAATAGCATCCTGCCAGAGGATTGGACTGCCCTTAACCTGCAAGTCTTTAAACAATCTCTGAAAACCTGATTTTTGTCCTGAAGCTCTGGGATAATATGTCTGGCCATCTGAGATGCAATGTCTGTTTCAGTTTCAATTATTTCAGTTTCTATAAAAGAATTTAGAAATGGAGCTATTCAAGAGCTCCTAAAGATGGGCATGGACGAGCAATTATACAATCTGGAGATTGAAGTAAAGGTGAGGGAGAAACTTAACCTTGCCTTGAGCTTTTTTAGGGTAAGGTATAAAAGGCTGGAAAAGCTTATAAGATTCAGGTAGGCCAGGTTTGAAAAAGGTACCAGATTCCAAAAGATTCTAGCTATGCTACTTTATTGTAGTAAGGGGTAACAGAATCTTGAAAGTCGGCACCTGTTTTCAAGCATTATCTCTATTTTTAATCTGTACGCTTCCCAGAACCTGTATTGAGTTGGGCAAACTTATATAGGTAAATAAATAAAATCAGTTACTCAGTCCAGAATTTATTATTTGTGGTGAACAACTTTGTATATCTACAATTGTTGCTGCATGGCTCTGATCCGTTCATTGTTTTGTACAGTGCAGAAGTAAGCATTGAACTCTCCCCTGCCCCCAAATTAATTTGCCAGTTCTGACCTTATATGGTCACCTTCCTGCATGTTACCATCTCCACATTAAAAATGAGGGTTCTGCTGAGAGAAGCAGTAATTGTTCACACAAAATATTGCTGTTGAGCATGAAGGTAAAGTTAGCAAGTTGAACAGTCAAGCTGCTAACCAAAGAAAGTGCCACCATTGCAAAGATAACTATTCCCATCACAAGAAAGAGTTATGAGACAGCAACACCAACATGTTCCCATAGCTTTTAAGAGGAGGTAATTGATGAATGTTCCAATGATTTTTTATTTTGATTTTTTGCCAGAGGCCAAAAGGAGTTGTAGTTCTGCTAAACTCCAATATTAGAGTGAAGGAAATCCACTGCTTTTTTACTTTTTATTTATTTTAAATAAAGTACAGTTTATTTTTTTAATAATATCTTTACTTATTGTTCTTTATTCAAAATAAAGACTTGAGGAAAAGAAGATATGGTACCTTTAGTTCTGTAATTTCTTTTATTTCTAGTGATTTGGCAACCTATTCCAGGGGCTATAGAAGCTATATGCTTATTCTCATAGGCTCCATGTCTTGTTACCTATAGCCAGTGGTAAGATTCAGATAATTTAACAACTGGTTCTCTGCAGGGGGGAAGAGGGGAGGGCATTGCCACGAGGCAGGTGGGGGAGGGGGGAGCTGTCCCATGCACCCTGCAACCACTTACCATGCTGAGGGGCTCCCGCAGCCAGGCCTACCATGCCCCAGTACCTATCACACCTCACCTGTTTGGTAATGACTTCTCCCGCTTTCTCCTTCCTCCTCCTTTGAACAGCCCTTCACTCTCGTTGCTGCTTTTTCAGTCCCAGAGTTTGTGCAGAGGGTCTTTGGAAATGAAGCTCTGCAGCGATCGGGTGGGATGGGAATGATTCTCTTCATTTTTGGACCGGCTCCAAAATGGGCTGGAGGGAATGGCCCAAGGACTCCGATGTGGCTTTGCATCAAGCAAGGGGATTGGAGGCACGTGAATGCGTGCTAGTCTGGCGTCTCAAAAAATCGGGGTTTTTTCCCCATTCTGGATTTTCGCTGCCATAATGTTTAACTTTCTTTACTTGATGCAGAATGTGGATCCTTCCAGTTCTGCATCAAGTAAACTTTTAAAGAAAGTTAAACAGTCTGGCAGAGAAAATCCAGGAGCGGGGAAAAAAAAACCCATTTCTTTGAGATGCCAGACTAGTATGAATTCACGTGCCTCCAATCCCTTTGCTTGCTGCAAATCCAGATTGCAGCAAGCAAGGGATTGGAGGCACGTGAATGCACACTAGTCTGGCCATTTCGGAGGCAGTTCCCCGAATTCAAGAAAAAATAAGGTATTGGTTCTGCCGAACTGGTGCGAACCGGCTGAATCCCACCACTGCCTATGGCTTTGTTGATGGTTATATGTTGGAATGTTGAAGTGTAACCTATATATAGTTGAAGTACAAAGCTGTACTTTGAATGAGTTCCACCTCCACTTCAAAATAAGGATGTGATCTAAAGAAAATCAACTGTTATATATCATTGCGTTCCTTAGAATTCAGCACTTTTTTTTAATATGTGAAACAGTTCAGCACAAGAAAGTGCTCCTTTTGGTCTATAAGCAGATATATTTTCCTATCCTAAGCAATCAGTGGTCAGGCAGCAGTAGCTCCCCCCCTCAGAAACTAGAGAGCAGACAAATGACAAATGATGACTGAACATGAAATGACTGGAATTGACAGTTTTGTTAGCTAACAGCCTTTGAAGCACCAGAGGATAGATATCTTCTCTAAACATTTTTGTCTTTCCCTATAAAGGGAGATAGATGCTTTGGCAAACTTAATGCAGAATTCCTCTAAATCTCTTCCTGTCAAGATCAGACTAAGAAGGAGCTTTTAATTCACTGGAACTGACAAGCAGAGGGTATCTGATCCAGTGGAGAAATAAACTTTCTGAATCTATTCTTATAGTATAATCATCCAACTGTTGTCCAAGGAATGTCTCTCTTCTTCCTCCAGTCCTTTATAAACCTGAAAGTAATAGATTAAAATGCCCATATTAGGGGATCTGGTAATCTTGAGATGGCTGTAAATATATTGATTCTTGTTTCCGCAAATTTTGAAAAAAAAGTATTTATTTTCCCCTGATCAGCATGTCAGATGTTATGGGCGTAGTTCAGTCCATCGTTTAGTAACAGCTGCCTAGAGATTAAGCAAAGTCTTATAATGGCCCTCAGTTTGCTTTTAAAAGATTCTGAAAACGTTGCTCTTTAGAAGAAGGATTTTAGCAAAACATACTATTGGATACTTTTATTTTTATTTTTGCATTGAAAGTTAGACAAAGGATTAAATCAAAATCACTGAGATGCCAATTTTCTAGTTTGGCCAGTACTGTAAGGCTTCCAGGTCAACCATTTCATTGGATTGACTCATAATTACTTGGCAATAGCAAATTCAAATAGTGACTCTTTATATTACTTTCTCTGTTTTTTTCTCTGAATGTTTTTGTTAAATTTTGGTGGGCAAAAGAAAACATCAGTAGATCCACAAGAAATGACATTTAGTTAGCATGACAAACTCTGGAATGCATGGTGGTGCAGTTGCTGAGTTCTGTTTATTTTTCCTTTAAGAAGGAGAATCTAAGGGAAATTGTTCTCCTTGTTGATGGTAAAGTGCATTGCTGAGCAAAGGCTGAACCTAAATAGCCACCATTCCTGCAGTAGCAGGGAAGAGAGTCATAAGCAGATTTTTCACTGGAGTTCTGAATATTTTCATTATCAAATACTAATCAACAAGGAAAATACAGTACTGAAAATTTTGAATTGATTTATTTAAACAACATAAGTAAAGGTTAATTTTTCCATTTCCCCCCAGTCTATGCAAGAAAAGCTTTTAGAAGGAAATCTGACAATTCAGAAACAAAAAAATGAACTTGAAGAAAAGGAAAAGAGTGTACAGCAGTTAAAGGAGGTACTTCTTGAAGTAAGTTTCTGAGATTATCCTCTGAATTAAATTTACCCGTCGGCCTTTTCCATGTATTGTGAGTGAACTGTGAAATAATTTCCCAACTTGCGATTAAGTTCAAGTGCTTTTTTAAAAACCTCAGTACTAGACAGGAACCAAATACATTAGTGAACATTTTACTATAATTGGGAATGTCTCTGGTGGACCAGTAGCTAGTGGTGACAGATTGATTTGCTATCTCAGATAAACAAAAACCTGCATGGTTTCAGTCCTCACATTTTCAGTCAGAAGAGAGATTTGGACAGTTTTATTAATAATTGTTTGCTTCAATTATCATTCAATTATCATTTGACAGTGTAGGAGCTCCTCTTGCTTATAATAAAATGCCAAGTATTGAAACTTACATTGTGCAGCAGAACATTTTTCATTTATAGACTAGGATCTAAAGTACTACACTGCTAAGCTTATATACCCAAAGAGGCTTTTGTTTTCAGGATCCTAAAATGTAGCCCAGATTTATAATGATGATGATGATGATGATGATGATGATGATGATGATGATGATGAAGAAGAAGAAGAAGAAGAAGAAGAAGAAGAAGAACAATGATGAAGATGCACTGAAATTAGTATATCAGGAAGGCTTACTGACTACTGGAGAGACCAAACTGGCCTACAAGAAAGACCAAATGAAGAACAGAATAGAGGCATGGGAAGACAAAGCACTACATGGCCAATACATTAAAAAAATAGCTGGGAAAGCAGATAATAACAAGACCTGGCAATGGCTAAGAGCAGGAAAATTGAAGAAAGAGACCGAGGGACTAATTCTGGCTGCACAAGACCAAGCCTTAAGGACAAATGCATATAAAGTCAAAATTGAGAAGACAGCAACAGACAGTAAGTGCCGCCTATGCAAAGAAGCTGAAGAAACAGTGGACCACTTGGTAAGCTGTTGCAAGAAGATTGCACAGACTGATTACAAGCAGCAGCATGACAAAGTAGCAACAATGGTGCATTGGAAGATCTGCAAAAAATATCATTTGCCTGTAAGCAAAAACTGGTGGGATCATAAAATAGAGAAAGTCATAGAAAATGATAAAATTAAACTGCTCTGGGACTTCAGAATTCAAACAGACAAGCACCTGCAACATAACACCCCAGACTTAACAATTGTCGATAAGAAAGACAAAAAAGTCTGGATAGTGACGTGGCAGTGCCTGGAGACAGCAGAATAGACGAGAAAGAACTGGAGAAGATAACAAAATACAAAGACCTACAAATAGAAATAGAAAGACTGTGGCAAAAGCAAGCAAGGGTAGTACCAATAGTGCATAGGCTCCTTGGGTGCAATCCCAAAACAACTGGAGCACCACTTGAACACCATTGGCATTGACAAATTCGCTATTAGTCAATTGCAAAAGGCGGCCTTACTAGGAACTGCTTCCATCCTGCGACGATATCTGTAATACCATCAAACATCCACATCTGCCTATCCCAGGTCCTGGGTAAGGACTCGATAGGTAGACAAAATGCCAAATCCAGTCTGAACATCTGGCTGACTGTGCGATGATCCATATATAGTAGTAGTAGTAGTAAAGTTGGAAGGGACCTTGGAGGTCATCTAGTCCAACCCCCTGCTAGGCAGGAAACCCTATACCATTTCAGACAAATGGCTGTCCCGTCTCTTCTTAAAAACTTCCAGTGTTGAGCATTCACCGCTTCTGGAGGCAGGTTGTTCCACTGGTTAATTGTTCTAACTGTCAGGAAGTTTCTCCTTAGTTCTAGGTTTATGGCAGCCCCTGAGATGTTGGAACACTGCTATCATGTCCCCCCTCGTCCTTTTCTTCATTAAACTAGGTATACCCAATTCCAGCAACCATTCTTTATATGTTTTAGCCTCCAGTCCCCTAATCATCTTTGTTGCTCTTCTCTGTACTCTTTCTAGAGTCTCAACATCTTTTTTACATCGTGGTGACCAAAACTGGATGCAGTATTCCAAGTGTGGCCTTACCAAGGCATTGTAAAGTGGTATTAATACTTCACGTGATCTTGAGTCTATGCCTCTGTTAATGCAGCCTAGCACTGTGTTGGCTTTTTTGGCAGCTGCAGCACACTGCTGGCCCATATTTAAATGATTATCCACTAGGACTCTGAGGTCCCTCTCACAGTTACTACTATTGCTACTATTTTAGCCTCTCTTCTCCAGTTTGTGCAGAACAAGAAGGATGTACAGGTAGTGTTCACATAAACAGTGGTAATTGGGATTGCCAACTTCGTCACTAAGCAAACAGTTGTAAAGCATGATGCCACATGACTGCACTGATTTACAGCATCAATTGCATCAGTTCCAGATGTCATTCTTAAGGGAAAACTGTGAAATGTTAGATGTGATATCACTTGATTGCCATTTGCAACCTCCTGCCAATTTCCCCATTGACTTTGCTTGTTGGAAGCCAGCAATGAAGGTTAGAAATGGTGATCGTAGGTCTTCAGGATGGTGCAACCATTGTAATTACAATTCTGTTGTTAGGTGCCTGGATTATGATCACATGACCATGGGAATACTTCAATGGCCACTACTACAAGGACTGGTCATAAATCTCCTTGTTCAACATGTCGTAACTTTGAACAATCTCTGAACAGGTTGTCATTAGAAAAGGTCTATCTGTAATTTGATTATCTGAGATAATAAAAATATGTTAGATCATCAACTGACTAATATGTAACAATGTAGATATCTATCATAACATGTTAACGTGAGGTCCACCACTCTGGCCTTCCATTTCCCCACAGTTTTCTTATCAGATACCAGACATCTGGTTCATGCCCCTGAATGCAGAGTTTCTTCAAAATAAAATACAAGCAAACTCTTTTTCAGATGCCTATCTTCCATTAGAATTTTTCTGAAAATAAACCAATTGAATAAAATAATTTTTGTTCTTTTATTTTCATCTTGTTTTAATGAAGAACCAAAGATTTATGGAAGAAAATGAACGTTTAAGAGAACAGATTCGTCTGATGGAGCAGTCCAGACAACCGGTGGCTGAAAAGTTACCTGTGGCAGATCAGTTATTCATTGAGATGTCTCACTGTCTGTTTGACTTGAAAGCACTTTGCAGTATTCTTACTCACAGAGCTCAGGGCAAAGAACCTAACCTGTCCTTGCTGCTCGGAATCCAATGTAAGTAATGTGGACAGAAATGCCTACTGTTCCTTTTAGCACTGAGTAGATCTGGGAAAGGAAAATCTAGGGATGTTAGTAAGAGAGGAGGAATAGGAGGCTCCAGACTGATGTACATTTTTTGACTTAGGGAAACTACTAATAAATACATAAACTACTAATAAATTTGGAATAGGAAAAACAGGTATATAGTATATGTGAAAGGCTTATTTTCTACAACTGTAATTCAGAAATGTACAGTTATGTTTGAGAATTAAATTTAATCTTCTTATGATATTGGGCTCCCTGCAGCTTTTCTATAGTATAGTTGTATGATGTTTGTGGTCTCCAAGCAGCCATGAAGTCATGCTGAAAATTGGTTCTTTGAAACAGGCAGCCTGTGGCACTACTGCTAGATTTTTACCTCAGAGTATCATGCTGTCATTTTAGTTCCTTTAAAAGCCTGAGGAGCAAGACATTCTAGTATTTTCAGTTGAATAAGTAGAACACTCCAATTTCCCCAAAATAAACTTTATTAGGACCTCATTTCTTTATGCTAGCTGGGGTCTCATATGTTCTGGTGACTGCCTGAACTGGTTATTATTGTCAGTTTTTCTCAAGTTAACTTCTAATTCTGGCAGAAAATAAAAACAACCCCTACTAGAGAATATTCTTTGATCAAATTTGCTTCCCTAAGAACTCATCTCTTCTATCCACATTCTATTTTTAGTAGGCAGAAAATATAAAACCAAGATGCTGACTTTCTTCTCTATACCATGTGTAATTTTAAAGTGATCATAACAACACGCATTTTGTCAAGAAAGTGAAACATTCACACTTTTTTCTAGAGCACAGCAGAGTTAGGTCATTAGGTCATTTATAATAGTATGTTTTGAACTAGTGACTTTTTAAACTTCTAGCCGTGGTTCTTTTTTAACAGCAATGAACTGTTCCTCTGAAGATGAGAAGCACCATAGCACAGAAAGTCTCTCGAAGAAGCTAACAGAGGTTTGTCAGTTACGGAAAGATATTGATGAACTGAGGACTATAATTTCAGACTGCTATGCTCAGGACATGGGAGAAAATTGCATTACACAGTGATGACACCTTGGCCTCATACTAACAACTAAGTTATTAAATGCTGCTCTGGTTTTAGTTCCTCATATTTCTGTTACAAACAATACTGGAAAGCAAATGCTGTGCCAGCTGAAAAGGTTTCATATGTTTGTGCATAGTTGATGCAGGTAATACGATCGTCTATCGAAGAGATTTTGTGCTGCGGGGAAAAATCTAATTTCTTTAAAACTACTGAATGTAGGTCAAAGCTGTGAATAATGTTCTTTTGAAAATGTTTTTTATTTCTTTTGTTATGCTGATAAAAGAAAATACAATGTTTCCTGGAGTAAAAACGGAATTACCAGAAGAGGGCACTATAACAGTGGTTCATCAAGCTTTTAGGATAGAAGATCAGGCCTGAGAATCTTCATGACAAAGGCAGTTGGATGTGCTTGGTTATTTGAACGCCAGGTATTAGAACTGTGGATGAAGATATAGAGTCCTAACAAAGATTTTTTTTCTTTTTTTCTTTTTTCTTTTTTTTTTGGATGAAGAGAGTACTGATGGTTTGGGCCGTTAGGTAAAAATTATATGCTCTTTAAGGGTTGCATTCCACGTTTGATTATTGTTTTATTCTGCAGTTCTTGTGTAATGCAAAGGGGAAAAAAAGATGAAAAAACATTCACATTTCAGGAAGGGATTCAGACTTAGAATTTAGTCACCAACTATTAAGCTCTTTTGCATTAATTAGGTTGGGCAAAATGGTTTAGATAAAATATTTTTTTAAAAAATCAAAAACATTAAGTGATATTTTCATATGTGTGTGCGCGTGTGTGTCCCTAATAACTATAAAAATACGAATCCCAGGCGTATCTGTACAATAATAGAAAATCCTCGAATTCTGGGAAGGATATAAACCAGCTGTTTATTGTTAAAAACTAAAACAATAAAAACAACTATTTACAATACTAAAAGCAACCTAAGCTTTTGCTGGTCCGCTGCCAGCGTCATCAGAGTGAGTGTCGGGGTGGGGAGTTTTCTTATAAACCTTGCTAACTCAGTTTCTTGCCCATTGACCGTGTGATAGGGCCGTCCGTCCTAACTGACCGTAATTGCCTCAGTTGTCCCGCCTTCCCTTGTTTGCGTTCCAATTTCACAGCCTTCTTTCTTCCCATTGTTTCTTTTTCCATCCTTGTCGATCCCATCTTTCCTAATGTTATTGCTGCCGTTATATCTTCTGATGCCCCCCCCCCGTGATCATTCTTGGCTGCACATATTGTAGATACCTTTCCGTTGCTGCTCCCCCCCTTTTTTCCCGTTCGTCCACCTGCTGCTCTTGCCTTCTGCTGCTTATCCCTATCGGCCCTGTTCCCTCTGGTTTCCCTTCACGCTTGGGTGTGTGCGCATACAGTAGTATCCTGTCCCACTCTCTCCATATTGGATCAGCTGGAGTGACTGCCGAAACGCTCCCAGATTCACTCTGTCATCCGCGCCCAGCAGATGGCTCCCCGTGTGTGGGTATACACGTGTGCCGCGGCGTTCTCCCCTCCTGCCTCGCCCCTATCTGATCAGCTGATGTTCTTACAGGAGTATTTGCGGCAGCAATAACATTAGGAAAGATAGGATCGACAAGGATGGGAAGAATGGAAAAAGAAACAATGGGAAAAAAGAAGGCTGTGAAATTGGAATGCAAACGAGGGGAGGCGGGACAACTGAGGCAATTACGGTCAGTTAGGACGGACGGCCCTATCACACGGTCAGTGGACAAGAAACTGAGTTAGCAAAGTTTATAAGAAAACTCCCCACCCCTTGACATTCACTCTGATGAAGCTGGCAGTGGACCAGCGAAAGCTTAGGTTGTTTTTAGTATTGTAAATAGTTGTTGTTATTGTTTTAGTTTTTAACAATAAACAGCTGGTTTATAGCCTTCACACACACACACACACACACAGTTTGAAATTTGGCAAAGTAGTGCCCTCTGAATTTGAATGTTGGAATTCCAGTACACAGAAAAATAAAAAACCTTGAAGAAATCCGATTTCTTCTGGCAATCTGAAACAGTAGATCTTGATGAATAATTAATATATTTGCTCCAAAATTATATCACAATTGGCATAAAAACCTTATGTGAAAACAGAGTTCTTGACTATTCAGACAAATATGCTTAAGTTTCTCTTATTGCCAGAAGAGGACTAGGATGAACTCAGCAGTGCCAGCCTTCATAGATGCAGTGTTAAAATGCCTGAATTATAGGTATGCCACTTTATAATCCAGGTTTATGTATTTTGTTGTGTTAGAATTTATACACAGTTTGTCAAGACAAGCCTGATACCACTTTATTCTGACAATCTATTCTACAATCTACAAAAAACGCCTTCTTTGAAAAAAAAGGAGGCTAAATATAATGCATGGTACTCATAGATGCCATGAGGCTCATAATTTCAGTCTTGTCAAAAGTTGATACTTAAAGAGCAAGTAATGGATTACCATTTTAAATTTCTTACATTAGTATTTTTCCTTAAGCAATTTTTGAACATTGATTTTAGAGTGATATTTTCACATTTGTGTGAGCCAAATTTATATTTTATTTGTATATGATGCAGTTTAAAAAATTGGCCTTTTTAAAGTTATACTTATTTTAATAGGAGTTTATTCCTACTCTGTGATGGCTATACTCTCTGTGAAAATGTATTTTAATATTGAACTTAACTGATGCTCAGTTATTTTAAATGCACATTTGTAAATATTAAATAGAAGCAGTAAGGGATAAAAGATACTTAATCCTGCTGATTGAGGCCTAATTACGGTCACAATCCCAAAAGTGTTACTAGAAATAAAATTGGGCAGTACTTATAATTGTAACTTTAAATTCATATCTATGCAGATGAAGGGGTGAATGATCAGAACTAATTAGCTGATTCACTTTCTCACCAACGAACAATGAGCGCAAGCCTGACTTTCTTATTATACTGTGCTATTAAGAAGCACAAATATCATTTTTTGAATCTAAATGTTCGCATTTTATATTCTATTGGACTCTGTATCTTGCAAATAATTTGGAACTGCAGCATTATGTTATTATTAAAAAAAGAATCTTCCACAACAAAGATTGAAGCAGTTTGTGGAAGTAGATTTTTGACACCAAATTTTCAAGAAATTTCATGTTTGCATGGGCTGCAAATAACTGATTTTAATGAACTAGTTAGCTGGATTGTTTAGCTTCTTACCTTTAACAATCAACATATTTGTCTACATTATGGTATCATGAGGTCATATCACCATTTTTACTTTGAATAGACAATCATATAGCACTCATGGAAGAGCTAATTTTCGAGAGATTATCCCAGATACCTGATAACTTTGATCCTTGCTCAGATATTTAACTTCTGTAGTTTAACTGTTTCAAACATATTCATACTCTATGCATGTTTATGAACCTTTTTTAAAAAAAAGGTTTGACAAACTGTTTTACAAATCTTATTTTTAAAAGATATTTTTGCTCTCGAAATAAGAATTTGTGTCACAAGAAATGCCTCCTAACATGCTGTAAAGCAGTATTTTTCAAACCTGGCAACTTTAAGCAGGACTTCACCTCCTAGAATTGTCCAGCCAGCATGCTATCCACATACTGAGTTGCCAAGTTTAAAAAACACTTGTAATTAAGACATCAGTGAAAATAAATGGGTAATTTGTTTAACAATAGTAATATAATTATTTTGGTTTAACATGCATATACGTATCCTTGTGAATACATAGATAAAACTTCACTAGGCAATTTGTTAAAAAATAAAGCCAATGTTCCACAGCACTTTGGGGAACTTGTGTTAGTGTTCACCCCATCCTTCCACTCATATCCAGTGAAACTATGAAGGTGTAGCATGCATTCCAGCTGCATTTCACCCTCAGTGACTGCAATTCATTGACTGAATAGAGGAGGCTCCTAATGGATGTGTGTTGATAAGGATATCCAGTGTTTTAGAGAAGGCCTGAGGCTGTACTATCTGTGTGGCCTTCTTTATGCTACCAGCAAACACAGAGTGCTGGGAATTAGGGCTATTAGTACGACCCTCTTTTCTTCTTACACATTCATGGAACAACTAAAAAGAGGTTGTGATTTCTGACATTTTGGCCCATCAAACTGGCCAGTAAAAAATAGTATGCTATGAATCACAAATCTATTCAAGCATTTGATAGAGACTGCTAAGTGGTTGTTTCTGTGTTAAACAAGGAGGGACCTAGATTTATCCTCAGATGCTAGATAACAGGGAGAAGGCATCAGCAACTGCTTGTGTGTAGGTTATGTAGAGTACAGAAAGAGATTTATTTCACCATTGAAGGCTCTATGTCCTGATAATTAGTTTAATGTGTCTTAGTGAAATGAAAACAGTCAGAGGTGGTAACCAAAGAAAGAAAAACAGAAGGACAAAATTAAATGAGCCATAAATGCACAGTATTATTTTATTAGTAATAACTTAGCAGTCTTTGAATCTGAAGAACCTACAAGTTTACAATGGCTATTTAGTAGCTTATATTCTGCATAAGAAATGTGTGAGTTTTTTCTTTGAATATGTGTGTGGCCTCATTCAACACATGTTGTAAAAAGTAGTTAACTAAAAACAGCTTTTTAGAAAAATGATTCTCAATGGTATTACTAAGTTGATTTAGTCATGACAACCTTTCCCTGCAGATACAGGAGATCATCCAAAGAGCTGAAAAAATATTACTAATAAATAAAATGTAGATAATAGATTTGTCAGCAAAGATGAAGGCAAAAATTACCCATTTCGTATGTTGAGGTTGCATTTTTACAGATGTGTAGATGGTATTCTATAGTAACTACTATAATTTAAGAATGTATCCCAAAAAGGAATTTAGAAAGTTACTTTCATATATGGCTATTGCAGTTATTTATATGCCATTTGTATGTGCAGTATTCAAATTTAGTACTGTAGTATAAACTTAATTTGATTTTATTTTTTGTAAAGCATGGCAGTGATCCTATTTGGAAAATTGACTTAGCTCTGATAGTAATGCCCAAATCAGTAATACTTATTATATTAGGGTAGAGTTAGTTTTTAAATAAATATTTAAGTTTTTGGAATGTAAGTTATGAGCACAGATCATTTTTAGTAGGTTTATCATAATCAGTCACCCTGGATATAGATATTTTTTTAAAAAGTAATATAAATGAACCAAAATTATTTTTAACTTTTTTCTTACTCTTTGAATTAGTTTTGTTAGTTATTTATTCCCACCCCACCCTCTTTTAGAAAAATTGTGAAAAATTTTTTGTTAGATTCCAGAATAAGAATAAAAAGCTAAAAGATACATGCAAGATGCGGTGTGCATCGGTTTTACTCTGCCTAAAACTTAAACTGGGGCTAAATTCACCTAACCCCAAAATGTATTATTCAATAATGCTTCTATAAATCTGTGTATATTTAAAAATAACTCTAAACATAAAATAGATTTGACATCGTATTCTAGATTTGGATTTCAAACAAAATTGAAGGCAAAGTTACTATTCTGTAAAAAAGACAATAGATATTAAAAATTAGGTCAATCAGTCAATACACCAATAGTCTTTGGAGTATTATTCCATCTCTTTGTAACTCTGTGCCTTTTATTTTTGCTTAAAAGTAACATTTTAATAGCTATGAAAGTATCAAAATTTGCACTTTGTTTCCTCTGATTTTTGAGTCTTTAGCTTGTAAATGTGTGAAAAACTTTTCGTAAATAGAAATATTTTTAAAAAGTTGTAGGTCACCTTTGAAACTTAGTCTGGTCTGTTTTTACCAGCTATTCTGTATATGGTAGAGAATATGCAGGAAATTCAGTCAGTGTCCTTTTGTATATATTAGGTATATCATTGTTAATCAGTGGCCAGGCAAGGGAAAAGAGGGCGCTCCTTCAAAGCACAGCAGACTTAAACTGGATCAGTTTTCTAATGCTGGTAGCTCTTCAATGTTGGTTCAGTTTTTGAGCCACTCAGAATACCTCATGTGTACATAGAGTTGTC